TGCAGGGCACCAGCATCTCCGGAGCCCCGTAGCTTCCCCTTGCTCTCAGCATGTCTTCTGTCACTCACTGCCCAGTGCTGGTTTCTGTACACTGCCCCTCACTGCCACCAGCAAATTACAGCTTAACTGTAGCTGAGAAGGTTGAGCAAAGGGAAGCAGGACAGGCTTGCTGAAGGGAACTGGGACTGGTTCTCTGCCCCTTTGCACCAGGGTAGAAATAGGGAGAAAAGTGGCCTCTTGTGCAGGTGGAGATCCCAGTGTGGCAGGCAGGAGAAGGTCAAACAGTGCTGAATGCAACACTCCGACAAGCACTTGCCATGGGGACCAGAGCAGAGTCCCCAGCTTCTCCTCCGTGGTTTATGGATGGGGTGTGTAGGGAGAGCCCTCACGGCTATGGGAAAGCAGGGAGTGTAGCTGGCAGCGCTTCCGTAAGGACGCCCTGGCTGCTCGCTTCGTTTCTCCTCCCACGTCTTTGATTCTCCTTCTCCTCCCTGCCCAGTGCTGAGCTGGAGCCTGTCAGGTCCGACTTTGGCACCGAGGGCTTTCCCCGGCTTCACGCAGGCACGCACAGGCGGGATCCATGCTCGCAGGGCAGAGGAGGTTGCTAAAGAGCCTTTGTGAACTCCCCAAGGTCAGCCAGAAGAGACAGCATCCACTAATCCAAGGTCATTTCCTGGGCTAAAAGCAATAAAATGTTTTATTGATAAACTGAAGAGGGGAAAATATACACACTAAATCCACTCTCACACATTGTAGGCCATGCCTGGGCTGTTGCTGCCTTTGCCCTGGCCCTGCCTGGGATAATGCACGAGTCGTCATGCTGGAGGGGAAATGTTTTCTGGAAGGGGCTGAGCATTTGGCTGCCTTCCCTTCCTCCTCCTGGCGTGTGGCTGGGCACTAGCAGGGCATTGCTCTGGGGAAGCATGTTCCTGATGCCCCAGCGGCCTTCTGCTGTGAAGGTTTGGCTCCATCTTAGGGACAGCTCAAGTGTGAAGAGGCTCCTGTGTGCAGCATCCTCACCCTCCCATCCCAGCGAGCCATGCTGCCTTCCCTGTTTGGGGCTCCTGGGCAGACTGGAGTCTCTCCAGCCAAGCTTGCACCACAGTGGTTAAAAAATAAAAGGACTGTGCAGCATGTTGGCCCTCCTTCCCTCCCCCTCCCCGCCCCAAATAATGCTGTTAATAATTAATCGAATGAGAGCTTGCAGCTCCTGGAAAGCTGGCACTGGGACCTCCCTCTTGAACGGAGCTGCTCAGCTGGGCTTAAAACTCTTCAATAGGAATATGAAAGCTCCATCTGTTCGACGTACCCGGCCCTCTGAAGTGACAGCGTGCCGTCCCTCCCCAGCCAGCACCCCTCTCCCCACAGCATGGGCCCTCCTGCCCCTCCTCTCCTGCCCCTCCTCAGCCCCTGTCCCATCCGGCAGGGTCCCCTCAGCATCCCTGGCTATTCCCACACCAGTAAGCTCCTGCCGCACAGCCGGAGCCCCTTCTCCTCCACCCACGCCAGCTGGTTCATCCAGCTCCCAAACACCCCTTTTACACAGCCAGGACCCTCTACCAGGGTGCGTTTCTTCATTGACCCCAAGCCAAAGCCAGACTTTGTCTCTCTTTTCCTTTCCCTGCAAAGCCAGACCTTCTCTTTGCGGCACAGTTTGCCCCTCGGCTGGGATGCCCTATTTCTGGCCATGCTGCAAAGCTTTTAGTTCCTGTGTGCCCCCTGTAGCCCCCCTTCTGCCTTGGCGAGGCAGAGCTAAGCCGTGCCCACCATGGCCACCCCCCACAGAGGAGTTCATTGGGGAGAAAGGGCCACTTTGGGGACTGCGTGGAGGGAGAGGGCCTGGGGCTGCATGCGAGCTGCTGGCAGCACATGGGGACCAGGGGAAGGAGGGAGCATCAACCTGGGCTTGTTGGCAGCAAGTTCAAGGGGTGAGAGGGCAGCAAAATGGTGAGGTGCGTTTTGTCCTCATCCTTGGCAGGCCTGGTTGCGGCAAGCTGTACCTTTTCCTCAAAGGGAGGTTTGTTCTCAAGATGCCACGGGGCTGGGTGCAGAGCGGAGGGAGCCGGTGTCTCCTTGCAGGGTGTGGGGTGGGGGCAAGTGGTGTAAACTCCTGGTGGCATTGTTTTCAGAGGAAGCGCTCAGTGTAAATAGAGCATGTGGGAGAGTTTGTCCTGGGCAGAGATGAAAAGTCCCTGTGACAGGCTCAGGTTATAAACGGCTTCCTCAGATTGATGTGAAATCAAAACATTCCTATTTAGACGAAGAAAATGAAGGGGGATGTTTACTTAGCCTGGAATCTTTAAACAGTGCAATGGAGACGCAGGGTAATTTGGGGTGGGGAGCTCAGCCTGGGGGGAGGGAGCCTCTGCCTGGCTTTAGGGGTCCCTCTGTGCCTGGCAGTTCCAACCTTGGGCAGATACGAGGGTCCCTCATTCAGCAGATCAATTCCTCTCCCTCTGCCCGAGTGAACGAAACATGGATGCTCTGGTCCCCTCCGTCCTGTTGGCCATCTTCAGCGTTTCTTTGTAGAAAGGGTTTCCCTTCTCCTTCTGAAATCAGCAGGCTGAAAGAGGAGAATAGAAATGTTGGTATAGGTAATGGCCCTCTGTTCCATAGTCAAGGAAATAAGGCAATGGAAAGATAAAATGATGTGTCCAGGCTTGCAAAGAGTTGATTGCAAGACTGGCAGAAGAAGCTGGGAATTCTGATTTCCTGTGGCGATACGTGCATAGATGGGATGGAGCTATGTAAGAGTCCTGGTACTACAGGGCAAATTCCATCTCAGGAAGGTCTCTGGGAGAGTTAGTTTTATTAGATCAGGGGAAAGGGACATTTTCAGAACTTGCTTTATTTTCCACTTAAACAAGATTCTCAAAATGCTAAAGAGCAGCATTGCTGTGCTCAAGAGCAATCCCAACCACAAGGAGAAGGGGCAGGAAGGATGCAGAGGGGAAGGGCAGGAGCTGGGGGGCAGAAGCTGGGGAGGCAGGGGGGCAAAGCCAGGGTGTGTGAGATGGAAGGAGGCAGGAACAGGAACGGAAGACAAGTTGCAGGCTCCCTGGAGTTGCTGCGTACGCAGCAAGTGCAGCCTCAGGAACGTCTGTTCCTCTCTTCCTTTGAATAAATATTTATATATTCATTTGCCGGCTGGTGCACGCACTTGGCTGCTCACCTCCAGACCAGAATAATGGGACCTGCCCTCATTGCAGAAACAGGGAGGGCAGCGGGGATTTGGGCTGCCGTGTGTCTGCCTCCCAGTTATCTCCAGCTGCGGGCAGTGCTGATCTCACCAGTTAAGCAGGGCTGGGTATCGTGAGAACATGGATGGGGAATCACCAGGCAGCGTTTGGGAGAGCGGCACTGGTGATTCAGTGCTGACCCAGTGCCCCAGCCCTGGGCAGGCCCTGTACCACGCGAGAGGCACCGTCCTAACCACCTGCAGCCATCGAGGCTGCGCTGGCCCTTTGCCCGAGCATACAGGCGTGAGCTGTAGGTGTCCTGGCCAGGCTCCAGTTGGAGCTCACGGCAGCCTCCTGAGATTCCCTCTGTAGTACCAGTTGCGCGTAGGATTGGCCTTCACTTTCTGCCCTAAATAGAGTGGGAATGTGATGGGAAGGGAAGGTGCCAGCACACAGAGACTTTTGCAGCTTCATGGGCGTCTGCCTGTGCCCATCTGTATGCGTGAGGACTGTATGCGTGTGTTAGGGAATGTGTGAAAGGGAAATGCGTGGGGAAATGTATGGGAATGTATTTTGGGGAGATGGGGCTTTTTAACCCCTATGTGTATGACTACATTTATGGAGCATGCCAGCGCATACATACAGCTCTTGAACAGCTATAATTTCTAGATGGGGAGGTATGTGTTTGGGGGCAACGTGTGCTTTCCCTTCGTGAAAGCATGATTGCACGTAGGTGTTAGTGCTGGGGGGGGTGTGTGCGTTTGGAAAGTGGAGGAGTACATTTTGCCTCCCTTTGTGTGTGGGGCTGATATATTTGTCGGTGGGGTATTTTTCTTGCAGTCCTTGACGGGGAAGCATGTCTGAAGCTGTCAGGAGTTTACGCTAAGCAGCCACTCTCTGGCTCTTGGACAGCAGGTCTAAAGTTTCAGTCTGTTTCTACTGGCCTGTCATGTTATGGGATTAGGGGCTGTCACGATGGCTTCTGGATGCATCGTAGGGGGTCTGATTAATCTCACTGTGCTTCTGTGGAGCAGCACCTCTGTGCTGGTGACAGGGAGGTGTGGGCTGAGCTGCTGCGAGGGACTCCCGTGCAACGGAGGAACCTGTGCTCACTATTCGAGGTCTGGAGACGGTTTCTGTTGGCTCTCCGTGTGATGGGCCCCTCTTTCAGCACAACATAAAGTCCACGAGACGTCCTGCAGGCGTTTTACTGGATGCTCTTCATGAGCCCTGGGACGCAGAGCAGGGTCTGCCTCAGCACTGAACGCTGGGGGAAGAGCCAGGCTGTGTGCACATTTCTTGCCTTGGGACCTTTAACCCTTCTTAGTCTGGGTGTCTCTCAGCAGTATTTAATAAATAAAGAGGGAAATGAGACAGTTCAGCTGCCTTAGAATCAGTTTTTGCTTTTATTTGTGATTGAATCTTGTTAATTGTTGGTGCAATAATTATGCAAGTGACTCTGTGATAAGGACCATTTAGTTCAAGATTCTCTGTGACCTTGAAGTTAAGACCTTACGTTCTTCCTTTCTCCCCCCACTTTCTCTTACCCCTCCTTTACTAGCTGTCACATATGAATAAACTACATTAAAATAACAAACCCACACTAATTAGCTGATTGTGCTGGGAAGTGTGAGAGCAGAATTTCCTGTGTGTGCGAGAGCGAGCGAGCAAGCCAGCAGACGAAGGGGCCTGATCAACTGATACCAACCCAAGGCAATTTTCTCCCATACAGCTGCCACACACCAGTCTGGTGCACTTGCCAGGACTCCTGTCCTCTCTACTGGTTCTTTCTGGTCCATGCTGGTTCTCTTCTCTGACACGATGCGTAAACCCCATTAAGTGAATTCCTCACCATCCCTAGGGTTAGGCTTGGGAAGCTGTTCTCCCTGCTGCAGGTGCTTGGGTGCAGTTACTGGCTGGTGTGGTTTTGGCAGCCAACACATCTGGGATGGAGCTGGGGACCTAAAAGTAGGTAGTACTGCAGTCTGAAGGAGAGTGCAAGTCAGGCTTTTAACAGACTTCATATCCTGCCTGAGCTGGGAGCAAAGACTGGTCCATACCATGTTCACCTGCCTGAGATGTCTGGGGCCTTTTGAGCCCAGTTCAATCGCAGCATAAATACGTGCCTCTTTCTTGAGCCCAGTGGCACCCTTTGGTACTAGCAGGTTCAGAGCGTGCATCTCACCAGGCTCTCCTGGCTGGGCTTCCACTTATAGTTTAGGAAACAGATGGCAGTCCCACCTTGCAGAGGATGACACTGGCCATGCCTAAAGGCCCATTGGGTTGGGACCAGCCATTTGCTGTTGGGGTTCAAGTTGTCTGATCCCACTAACGCCCTTCCTTGTTTCTTTCCCCTCTCTCTTTCCAGCTGAAAGAACTATATGCACTGACGCAACCTCAGGAAAACCCACAATGGCTGCCAAGCGCAAAGGCGGCCTGAAGCTAAATGCAATCTGTGCCAAGCTGAGCCGCCAGGTCGTCTTCGACCACGGGGGAACCGAACAGGCGCGAGCGGACAAGGGGCCGCAGCGGGAGAGCGGCAAGGACCTGCCTCAGCCTGGGACCAAGGAGCTGGGGACAGAGTTTTCAGATGGACTCAGCCGTGTGCAGAAGATCGAGGAGGACAAAAGGAGGGAGGTGATTGAGAAGTGGGTGAATGGGGAATACAACGAGGAGCCCTTGCTGGGGCGAGCGGAGGGCAAGGAATGTAAGGGCGCCGAGAGCGCGGAGGTGCCCCCTGAAGGGGTTTACATGGTGCAGCCCAAGGGCTGCAGTGACGAGGAAGATAACGGGGACGAGGCGGACGCTCTGAGGGGCTCGCAGGATGGCAACTTCATGGATGACAGGGATTCAGACGGGCCGGCCTCGAAGGACGATGCCTACCGGTCCTCCAGTGGCGAGACAGGCTCCAAGCTGGGGGGAGGAACCACCTCAGGTAAGCCCTCTGCCCCCTCCACCTCCCTGCACGGGGCAGCTCCGTGGTTGCATTTTTTGTGGGACAGCCGAAACTCTTGCTGTGTGCCCATGCCAGATACTGCCTGCATCTGGCAGCCAAGGAGGAGGGTGAAAGCCCCAGTCCCCTTGCAGAGGCCTGACATTTTGTTCTTGGGACTGTGCTGAATTTGCCTCTGCTTCAACCTTCCTCTTCCCAAGAGAGGTGTTTGTTGGGCTGGATGTGGCTGGATGGCTCTTTGCAGACCATAGATCCCTTGGTAGGGTAGACCTCCCCCCAGTCCACTCCTCCACACCGTGCAGATGGAGGTAGCTGTGGGGTGGGCTGATTTCCTGGTCATGCATTTCCTCCTGGGGGGGTGTGGGGGGAAAGCAGAATGTGCCCTTGTGGCAAATCCCAGGAGGATCCTGCAGCATATTCACACACGCTGAGCAGTGCATTGCGGTGCATCGTGCTGCAAGCAGGGCTGTGTAAACACACTCATGCCCACATGTTGCATTTTACGCAATGGTAATTAACCCCGAGATCAGAGCTGACCACGGGAGCCCAGGGCTGGAGGGAGAAAGCCGGGAACACATCGCGCATTTCAACCCGGTGCACGCTTGCAGTCTGGCGGCCCGCGGCGGCGCTGGCCACGCCC